TCAAATTAATTGGGACAAAGAGAAGTACCAAAAAAAGAGAAGTGCCAAAAAAATAAGATTAAATTAAAAATATAAGTTTTCTAAATTGAAAACTACTTAGAGTGTCAACACAATAATATAGGTGTCAGCACTTTTGCCGCAAATCTAAGTTGAAGGTTTATTTGCACCGGTTGGGGAGTAGAAGGGCTTAATTGCATCATTTTTAGTTCAAGGGCTTAAATGCTAATTTTGGGTAAGCCTAGGGGCTTAAGATTGGGTTTTGCCAATCTCTTGACATATATATAAAATGAATTTAATTTGGAGATTTCCCTGCAGATCTGATTTTTTTTTTTTCCTGACTTGTTCTTTGATTTTGTTTTATGGAATTCACGTTGTTGCAATTAGGTTTTTCACCTGAAAACCATAATCTTAGTCTAACGAAAAATTTTCAGCTGGAAATTTTTGGTGGGTTTGCTGTTGGGCTCTTAGGAAAGTAAAAGAAAATATTGATAATAATTAACCATAGTTTGGTGATTGTATAACTGGAATTCTTTGGTGGTTTGGTAATTTATGGGAATTTTTTTTTTTTTTTGATTTGCTTGTTTGGTTCACGAGCAAAGAAAGTAAAATATATTGACAATAATTAATTGTTAGTCGTTATAATTTTTGTTGGTTAATTAACAATTAATGGAAGTAACTTTAATTAATTTTATTGTTATGGGCATTTTTGTCCAAGCCCTCTTTATCTTGATAAAGAATTAAACATGTAATTAGATTTCAATATTTCTTATTCAATCCAATCTTATTCTGTCCTATATTTGAATCTCATCTAATTCATCAAATGCCATGCTCCAAACGTGCCGTTCGTGTTAACAAGATGAATAAAATTGGCTAGGGAAACTGATTTGCTTTTCAAGATCATGATTTGGATGTCTAGGAAGGAAAATTTTTAAGTGGAAAATTTTGTTTATCTTAGTAGTTGTTGAGAAAAAAATGTAATTAAGTTTGCGAGGGTTTTAAA